TTAAAAAAAAAAAAGACTTTTAATATAATTTATATTGACAGTAATAAATGATTTATTATTTTATTTATTTATTAAGGAGAAAGATTTTGAACATATATTTTCAATCATTCTCAATTTTAAAAAAATATTAAGATTATTAAATATAAATGTTATGCACATGTCATCTATTCATTGAACTTTGGAAAATTAGATACTGAAAAGCTTCCTTCATTTTAAATATTATGTTGTCTATATTTGCTTTTGAATTTTCTAAATACTATTATTTTGGCAACGTGGTATAAAATGATTGGCTGATCAAATTACTGGTGGGGTCAATAGCACGTGAGAGGATAAGATGAAACTGATCCAAGCCAAGCTAGGCCGACATCAGTGGGCCCTCCAAACTCATCAATAATGCAATAATTTAATGTTTTATTTGGGATAAAAATTGCTTTATAGTTTTTTTTTACTATAAATTTTTTTTAAGTGAAATTTTTTACTAAAAAATAGCTTCAAAAAAATAATAAAAAAATTATCCCAAAAAAAACTTAAATGAAAAAAATTGCATCATGATATTATTACATAAATTGTACTAAAATGTTCATGAAATGTAAAGATTTATTTGAAATTTTAAGAATATCAATAGTTTAAATATGTAAGAAAAATAAAATTTGTAAGACAAAATTGTCTTTTCATCTTCATGATATCTATCTTTGAACAAATATCATTTATATTATGCTCCTAAATAAATTTTGAATCAAATACTCTCAATAAAGTATAATCTCTTGAATTCATTGCCTATTCATAAATCCTTAGAAATTGATTCAAACTTGATTCAAATCACGATTGAACAAAAACTCAAAGTGGATCGAATTGAGAAAGCATGGGTGATATTGTGAGGGTTTCAAATTGGTAGCTGGCTTGAGAGTTGAGACAGTGAAAGTATGTCAAATTGACAGTATAGTTTCATCTTGCTCATCACAATTGAGCGAAGGGTTAGGAAGCAGTGAGAATTGGATCGTGCAAAGGGTGACATAGTGATTAGAACTTGACTCACAAGCAGACATATATTGAACAACATATGTGTAAACCAACACTCGACCTATGTTGATCACCACTAATTGTGAGCTTACCTCTCTTCTTTGTGTGACTCGTATGCATCGCACCTTCTCTGTCTCACACCTCTCCCACATATCTACTTCAAACCCTGATTTGAACGAGAGTTCAACACATATTCAAAATTTGAAATAAGCTTAAAGTATATTCCAACTTTTTTTTTTTTTTTTTTGAAGAAAAAAATTATATTCCAACTACTTGGAAGTAGCCTAAATTATAATCAATTTCAAAGGAGTGTCAATTTAAACGCGAAGTCTATGGGTATAAGATACTATTGCTCAATGATTAAAAAATATTAACTAGACAATTTGTGTAAGGAGCTTTTCCTCATCTTATTATTTTGTTGACAAATGTAAAAAGTGGGTCCCATTTGGCTGTCGACGAGAGACAGTTCTTCGGTCTTTATTGGACCACATGGAAAGTAGGACCCACCATGGGTTCTTGTCAGCTTAATGGGTCCCGCCGGGCTAAGCGGGCCAATGAATCATGAATAATAAGTCTGCCCAATAAAAAATTGGTTCGGATGCCCAAGACGGGCGTGCCATGGAATGTCGTTGCGATGTCGAACCTGAAGAGCAGAATTAACGAATGCAATAGGGGCGGTAATTTGATACAGCCCGTTATGGTTGCGATCACGAAGAAGTTGCCTATTGTCCTGAGAGTCCTTAATCATAAAATCATTAGCGTCAAAAAGGATTGAAATCTTATTATTGATTGTTAGTTTGGATATTGATAAGAGATTATGAGAGATAGAGGGAACGTGTAAAATATTGCGAAGATTTAGCTTACGAGCGGACTCCTGTAGAGGAAGAAGTCCATTTCCAGTGTGTTGGATAGGAATTGTACTGTCGTTTGCCACCGAAACCGAGTCGAGCCCATTGTAAGACGAAGTATTAGTCAGGTTGGAGAGATCTGGAGTCAAGTGGGAAGTGGCTCCGGAGTCAAGAATCCACTCCGTGTTGTTTGAAGAAGGTTGTGTCTGCGTGTAGTATGCTCTGGAATTCGTCGAGGTTAAGGGTACATATTGAAGATTGCATCTATGCCAACAATTTGGCGCAGTGTGACCAGTCTTGCCGCATATTTGGCATACCGGTCTTGGAGTGTTGGGTGGATTTCGAAGCTGAGATGTATTGTTGTTGGAATTGGAATGCCCGTTCTGGTTCTTTGTTTGTGATCTATTGAAGCGGCCACGGGTAGATTTGTTCCGAACAGACAGTAATGCCGTATTGTCGAACGGCTGGTTGAGATCTTTGGAGGTTTCTTGCTGAATATTTATCTCTTCGCTGACAAGAAGAGAGTAGAGAACGTCCAAAGAGATTGGATGCTGAGAAGTCCGAATTGCTGTCTTGAAGGGATTGTATAGTGTTGGAAGTCCGTTGAGCGTATAAAGGATGATATCTTCGGTGTCGAGCGTGGAACCAGCAGCTGCGATGTTGTCAACGAGGTTCTTGATTTGAGTTAAGTATTGTTGCATAGTCTTGTTTTTCATTTGAACCTGGTGGAGTTCGTTCTTGAGCTGGATCACCTTGGATCGATTTGTTGGTTGGAGTCATGTTTCAAGAATCGACCATATCTCATGGGCGGTGGATAAAGTAATCACATAGGGAAGAACGACAACAGAGATTGTAGACAAGATTGCAGAGACGAGATTCCGATCTATGAGCTTCCATAGACGGTGATCATTCGCGGCGGAGACGGGAGGGCACGGGTTTGTGCCGTTGAGGTGCCCGCTGAAACCATTGGCGGCGAAGTGTTGGTGAATTTGAAACCTCCATATGGAATAATTCTCGGTGGTCAGAAGAGTAGGAACAAGATTTTTCAGATTTGAGATGAGGAATTTTAATGGCGCTGGAACCACGAAATCTTCAAGCATGGTTGAGATTTGTGAGTCTTCTTGCACGGAGGCCGACGAGCCTTGATCTGCCATGGACAGGAGACGAAGAAGAAGGAGAAAGAACAGAAGCCGCTAGGCTGTGACGTCTGATACAATGTGAGCGAAAGCTTAAGGAGGAAATTGAGTGAAACGAAAAGAAAAGGTATTTGGAATTATGACTGAATGTGTAATACATGATTGGGCCTTGATATATAGGCGTATGGCTTGACATGTAAGCCGTACATCGAGAATATAAAATGACATAAATGTAAACCAACTATTGGGACCTAAAGCCACCTGTACACATATGCTAACAAAAGGATCCTATAGACGCCTTATAATTATTTATTTATTATAAAACACAATATTTTCATTTAAGCTTCTTTTGGACGATTTTTTTAATGTTTCTTAAAACAGCTTTCTAATAAAAAAAAAATAAAAAACCGTCCCAAACGAAGCCTTTTAGTTTACATATAGCCTTATAATTAGGGTTTAAAACAAAATTAACTGTCTGCTTATGAAAGAAAAAATAAAAGTAGTCACAGTTGCCGTTCTAAATCATGATTGGTTCTTACGTGCCGACGCAGTCACCACTTAAATAGGCGATTGGATCCACTCATTTACTCACCAATGCCCCCTTCGCCCGTTATCCTCTTCTCCCTGTTTTTTCCCCCACTAAGGCGACCGTGCCCTAGGTCTCGTCGATAGACTTCACCCAGGCCAAACACATTTTTTCACATTTTCCTCTACTTCACCCGTTGAGCAAATATGATTTTTTAAAGCAAAATTAAGGTTTCGTTTGAGACGGCTTTCTTATTATTTTTTAAAACAACTTTTTAGTACAAAAATTAAGGTTTCATTTGGAACTGCTTTTTATTGCTTCTTAAAACAGAATTTATAACGAAAATTCTAATTTTTTTATTCTAAAACACTGCTTTAAAAAGCATTAAGAATGTCGTCCCAAACGAAACTTAAATATATATGGAGAGATGTTGATATGGGGTATTAAGTTAATTTTTGGTTGATATAGAGCTGGAATTTGTTTTAAATGTCGAGATATGTAGATCTGGAATATTTTTTTAATGCAAAGAAATATAGATCTCGATGAGATGTTAGATGCAAAGTTAATTCAAATCTGAGTTTTTTTTTTCCCGAAAGTTTGTGATAATGTAATCACTAAAAAAAATTAAATTCATTCAAATTCTAAGTATTTTATTAAAACATTTTTAATTTATATTTAAAAAAAAAATAAAAAACTAAACATAAAAGTGATAAAACTAAGAAAGGCGGCCGATTCACAAAATAATAATAATAATATGAACTATTTTTTTTTTAATAATAATATGAGCTAGTCGCTTATTGAAGTGGGTATTGGTAGGGGTATAACAAAGTCAAGCTGACTCGCAAGCTGGCTTGGACTCGACTCGTTAACTGGCTCGACGAGTAGAGCTTATCAAGCTCACGAGCCGAGCTAGAACAGGATTTCAAGCTTGAAGGCTTATCGAGCTTGAGTTAGTACAACACACCGCTCGACTCATGAGCTCGTCAAGCTGCTCGCGAACTGAGGCGAAGTTCCACATGTGGGAAATCGATGTCAGATAACTCCACTAGCGGGAAAACTCGAGGGAAGGTGGACGACTCGTTTGGACGCGAACGACCACGAAGGCTTGCGAGTCAGCTTGAGCTCGTTTACAGTGGAACGAGCTTGCTTTCCAACTGACGAGCTGAGCTCAATAATGTCAAAACTCGACTATGCTGGACTAGTTTACACCCCCTAGCCAATGGCTATAACTAATTATAATTTGGTGACTATAACTAGCTTTTTTTTCTCTCTCTCTCTAAGGCTTCGTTTGGGGCAGCTTTATTATTGCTTCTTAAAGCAGCTTTTTAGTTCAAAAATTAAAATATTTGTACTAGAAAGTTGCTTTAAGAAGCACAAAAAACTGTCCAAAAAGAAGCCTAAGTGTAATAGTGCACAGTTCGTTTTGTTTTAAATAATAACTAAACCCTAAATTTGTCCTAATAATAAAATGTGGTAACTCAACAGTGAGTGTGGGTCGACACGAGACCGCGCTCGTCAAGTCGTCACCCGTCCACGGCTCTCTCGCTAGCCCGCCATTACTTCATCCCAACCTCTTCTCTTACTAATGGCGACAGCTCCAGCTTCTATTCTCAGGCCTTTGCCTCTCATCGTATCCCCTTCTCAACAAAGGCTCGACCTTTACCCCCGCTTCCTCTCGCCCTCTGCTTTCCCCAGTCTCAGACAGTCGCCGTTATCACTCCGATCTAAACCGGCCTCATCGAGCTCGACGCGTCGGTTGGCCACAGTAAAGGCAGCGCAATCAAGGTTCATTAAAGGTTCGCTGCTTACATCCCCTTGTTTATTTTTCCTTGTTGTGGTTAGAGCAGGCGAACCGTTGGTTGCTTCGCTGCGCATCACCTGTTTGTTGAAATGTCTCAAAAAGTGATCTTTGCTTGTAAGATGGGAGGCAAAGATATAATCGAGGGATTAAGGGGAGAAGAGATTGTGAAATTCTCTGGAATACTTGATTTATGCTTGTTCAGCTGGAGAAACCTTAAACATATTGATTTTGTGATAATTTTTTCACGCGAGATTAAGGCCGCCTGAATTAGTTAAAGTAGATTTGACCAAGGATAAAGAACTTGGGGAAAGATAAGGGGAGACTGAGTAGAAAAGAAGCAGAGAACCCAAACGGTATGTCTTTCGCGGGAGAATATGATAGGAAAGTGCAACGGACGATCATTGTAATTAGTAATTTAGGTTTGGTTAGTGGCTAGTGGGAAGTTGCTAGTTGGACGCGTGTTATTGTACGAATTATTCTGTGCTGAGTCCGGACGGCATCCAGAGACTAATAAAAATGTGTCACATCACCCCAAAAGTGTACCGTGCTTGGTACCAAGAGATACAGGATGGTTCTCCCATCTGGTGTTCGCACAGAATAATCTCTCTTCACATTCTGTAAATAGGAATAGTTAGAAATGAATAGATGTATCTCTTCGTTTGCTTTCTGTCCCTCTCCTTTTTATGGAGTTCAGACATTCTTATATTGTCTAATTATCCTTCCATCTCGTTTCCTTATTTTCAAATCCTCATTCTTCCCCACTTCTTTCTTTTTGTTGTTGACACAGAACAATTGGTGTTCTTATTGAGATACCACCTTTAATGCCTTAGCGTAATCACTAATGATCCCCAACCTCATTGTTTTCTAGATCTGTCCACTTGTCTAAGACCTTATTGATGGACTCCATCAACGGTAACTTAGAGAGCACTGTGGATTCTTGAAGCCTAGAATGCCACGCCACCAACACCTCGCCTCAATTCCATTTACCTGGAACGCTCTTTCCCAAGCACTTCCCAAAAGATCCTCCAGCCTGAACTGTGTCGAACACCCCATATTGTTACCAGTAAATCACCCAACCAAACATTTCCAAGCCAGTTATATTTAGTAAGTTCAAGACTAATCCATGGATAATCTCCTATCAGTTGATAAATTTCGAATGCGATTTTGATTGTCAAAGTAATTGAAAGTTTTGTAATAACCTTTGATGTGATGAAGTTTGACAATATTCTTTTTGATAAAATGTATGTGCAAACTTAAAACTTTGGTCTGGTCGATGTTCTGATCAAGTTTTCTAAGTGTCCATCTGTTGCATTCTTTTTTGTAACTTTAATTTTGGTCTAGTGTATAGGAAGGGTCCTCTTGAGAATTTGTACCTCCATTGTTACAAGTGGATCGGCAAGGTTGGTTTTGAAGGGATTAGAAAATAATAAAAAAAATGCAAGAGCTAACAATTTTAATTAGTAGTTTGGGTTAGTGGGAGTTGTTTGTTGGTGTGTTTATGTATTCTATAAATACTCCTAATTAGAGAGAAGTAGGGAGAAAATAAATCGAAGTGTCTCTTCTCAATTATTCTCTCTTATCACTTATTTTTTAAATTGTAGGCATCCTTGAATTGTCTAAAAATCCTTCCCTCTCGCTGTAAGACTTCAAGAGTTCGTAAATTTCTTGCAAGAACTTAATCACATTTAAGATTCAAGTTCTAGAATTCGTACAAGAACTTTCTTTAAATTCTCTAAATTTTACAAGAACTCCCAACATGCATTATGAGTTCTCTAACTCTTGCAAAAACTCGCAACATAAATTATGTAAAAGAAATTGAAACGAAAAATATGAATTTACATAAGTCTTAAATCCCCAAGATCTTAAACAAAATGATTTTCACAATCTTTTAATCAGAAGAAAAACATACCTTGATTCATTTTGAATTCGCTGAATTTTGAACTACGATTTTCTCCCTTTTCCCTTTCACTTTCTTCTTTCATGAGTTAATTCTCTATGGAGCAAAGTAACTCCTCATAATGAGAGAGAGAGAGAGAGAGAGGATCAGTAGTTATTTCCTGCAGTTTAGTTATAATAATCGCTCATATGAGTTATTTGATCAAACGGTTTATAAACGATTGATCAAATCATCTCTTTTTGACCAATAAGATTTAAACATAAATAATTAAATTTCAATAATTCTAATATATGGGCCACTTAATAGGTTATATAATTAAATATATATACTTAAATAATTATTGTGAGGTCTCGCATAATTAATATATTTAATTATTCTAACACTCTCTTCCTTACTCTTTGATCTTCCTTCCCCACAACTTCCTTGTTCTTTTTACCATAGGCACATATCAAAAGACAAGTCTTCCTTGTATTACCCTAGCTTTTCTCAAGTTTTATGATGTGGCTAGATGCCCATTTGTGAAATCATGCTACATAATCGCTTAAGCACTATTTATGGGTGTTGTTGGGATCCTTTTTTGTGTCAGTTATCAATTGTTGCTCACAATTATTAGTCAGCAATGATCAGGCATGGAAGGCTAATTCTTAGGACAAAGTTAGTGATCAAGTGTTGTTAAATGGTTTGTTTTCAATCATTTATAGGGTTTTTAGTGAATTTAGTCAAGCTGAGTACTGCCTTGTTTAAGCTTGTTCTTTTTTTTTCGAACCAATCCATCCCAAATTATCAAGTTCAACCATGCACAAAGAAGGAAAATAATAGGAAAATAAAAAAAATCTCACAACATATATATTACCTCACACAAATATTGCCTTATTGGAGCTGTAAATCCTCCCAAATGCTAGCCATCAATAGAATATGTGAGGAACGAGAGGGATCTTCATTGCTTCTTGCTCAAAATCTCGCCTTTACACCTTTCCTTATAGCCACTGCATAAATATCAAAAACCGGGTCATGTTTGGTTTTATCAAATAACTTGAAGTTGATCTGTTTTGACTCAGAAACTCGAGATTGACCTATTTTTACCCACTTTTGATCCGAAAACTAGCAATTTTTTGCACGTCCCAGGTCATTCGGGTTGTGTTGGGTTGACTCGGACCCAACGCAGGTCGGGTTCGGGTCTGAAAATCAGACCCATTTGCCGACATGGGTCAGGTTTGAGTTGACCCGAATAGTGTCGGGTCAATTTCAGGTTCGACCCGAACCCAACCGTGACCCGAAATTGACACCCCTACTCTAAGTTCCCAAAATTTGAAGGGCTCACAACCGACAATATTACAGGCCCAAATGTCGCCTAACCTGAATTCCTGCAACAAATTTTGTAGCATAAATGTTGCACTCTAAAACGTTACAACTAAAAATGAACATACACTTGCCAGTTAATGTTCATATATGTTGTGTGGTCATCTCCTTTTCCTGAATGTTGTAATTGTATGACCTGACATTGGGGTAAACTGTGTAATGTAAATCTAATTTATTTCATCACATAAAGTCTTCCCATACTTTCATGCTTGAATCTGTTTTGGAACATTGCAATCTGGAAGCTAAAACTCTCTTGTTTTCACAAAATAAAGTGCTCTAATGTAGATGGAGAAATAATTTGATGTTGCACATTGCAACAGATATAGTAATATGACTTTCCTGGCCTTCATGCAAACCACAGAATCCCTGGAAACCGTGCCGATTCAATATCTTGAAGTCAAGTATTAATGACCAGTTGTTTCTCATCTAACCCTATTTCTGGGTAATTCTTGCAGTCATTCAAAGTGCTTGGAGGATTGGGAAAGATGCAGTTGAGGCGGGAACCAATCTTGTGCCAGTAAGAATTTCCTTTTAATGATTCCAATAATGGTTCCATATGCCATGCATAGAAAATCTCTCATTTTCTCCTGAGATGATTGTATCTTTGTTTCAATTGTTGATATCAGGGTTCAATTCCCAGACCGGTAGCAAGAATTGGTGTTACTGGAGCCTTGGTGACACTTGCTCTTTTTCTATTCAACTCTATCCTCTCCACTGCATTCTTTGTATTGGTAAAGTGTATATTTTTGTTTCTTTCCAAACTCATGAAAAGATAACTTAATTTAACGCTAGATTGGAATAAACGAATGATTGAGAATGAAAAAGCCAACTCCAAATAGTTGGAATAAGTCTTCGTTTGGGACGGTTTTCTTACTGCTTCATAAAACAGTTTTTTTAGTACAAAAAAATTAATTATTGTACTAGAAAGCTATTTTAAGAAGCAGTAAGAAAGACATTGATGGGGACATCAGATCATCATGGAGAGTTTATCAGAGACGCGGCCGATGATCTACGGCCACGATCGAGTCTTTATATTTTTGAGTCGTTGATGTATTTTATTTTCATGTAGTTTGTTATTTGCTTATGTGGCAGTTTGAGTCATTGTATTTTTTATTATTATTTAGTTGCTTATGTGTTTCTTTCCCGTAGTACCCCTCTCATAGGAGTTATCGTATGTAAGCCCAAAGGGCGTTTGTGTCTTTGTTTCGAGTCATGTTGTAGGAGGCTATTTAAAGCCCCATTTTATTCTATTATGGATGATGAATGATTATTGGAGAATTTGTTTTCTTGCTTGGAGCATTGTAAGAACTTGTGAGTTCTAGTGGAGAGAGCTTCCTTGAAGAGGAAGGAGATAGCGTAATACCCACCAACTTGGATAAGTCGGGTTCGTGGTTCTTTCTTGATCCCCTTTTCCTTTTTTTCCCGTCACTCTTCCCTCCCCACCCGTTCTTTTTCCACTTGGACCTCACGGCCCAGCATCTCACCTGAGATCCATTGCCGCCGGCCTAGTCCTTGGCCGCCGGCCCCATCTCCTTGCTCTTTCTATTGGGTTTCCTAATTGGGAGCAACTTTAATTGGGATTGATTCGAATTTCAAAGGCATTCAACTTTGAATTCAAATTATTTCCTAGTTTGAGCCAACCTATTTTAGGGAAGTTTTTGTCTCAAATCTGATTGAATTTCAAATTCAAGAGGAGTCAAAAGAATTCTTTCCTAATTTTAAAAATTCTGATTTAAGAATCATTAACTGCTCCCCTTAAATCCCTCCCCAATCCTTGGGTCCGCCGGCCCTGCATGACTAGCCGCCGGCCCCACTTCTCCTGCTACTAGTTGGGTTTTCCTAAATTATTTTGGGATTAATCTGGAACAATTTAAAATCCCATTTAATGCAATTTCAAAATTCAAAACCTTTCCTAATCATCAAGAGTTATTTTAGGAAAGTTTCCAATCACAGATTCAATTTAATTTCAAATTAAATTGAGCCCTTTTAAAATCTTTCCTTAATTCATCCAGCCAAAAACAGAAGCTTTTAATCTCCACCTATTCCCTCTTACAAACTTCCGAAACCTCCAGCACCGCCTCACGTACCCGCCCAAATCTCCTCTAGTTTCCTCTCTGTTGGTGTTCTCCTCCTTGAGAAAAATCTGAAACTTCTTCCAGATTTTGGGTTGTTTGGTCCACTCTTCTCTCAAGACCTTAGAGAAACTCATTTCTCTTTGATTATTTCGGCCAAGTATTCCCTCCTTGAAGAATTGATCTCCAATCACCCATGAATGGCGGACCCCGGGACTGAGTACGATATTACTTGGGACGACGACGGCTGCACCGACATCTTCCGTTCTACATTCTTCGACGTGAACCCGGAGATTGATCATACAATCAAAGAATACGTAGATCGTATTTTGTTTCAATTGACGGAAGCCATTGAAGAGCATTTCGAAGGACTTGAGTGGAGGATTTCAAAATCTTCTTGACGAAAGGTTTCTTTGTTTCTCTACTTGTCTTCAAATTTTTCTAACTCCAAATTCTCGCTTGGTTAAGATTGTATTCACTAAAGGCTACTCCGAATGCTCTCGCTAAATCTTAGTAAATGTTAGGAATTGAGTGCGCTTTCTATGCATCCTAGATCTCATTGTTAGATTAGGGATTACATTGGAAGCTACTATTCTGTGTTGTTGTTATTTTCTTGATTATTCTTGAATGTTCAAATTTCAGCGCATGTAATTTAGCCTATGAAATATTAACTTCCTCATTGTTTGATTCGTCGTGGATAATTGCTAGTAATTTTAATCCGAACTTATTCTAATCAACGAGTTGTGCAAGGCCTAAGCGAAACTCATAACATTGCATTTACGTAGTCCTGCATCAGACATCCCAAACGAAGCCTAAGTCTAACAATGATGATGATGTTTTTCACTGAAGTTGATATGTATTTTACTTCCATGACTTACTAGAACACATCACCTATGATTTGCTCTAAGTCATAATGATCAAAATTTCACATCTGTAAATTATCTGCCTTATTATGTACTTTGCATCAGCAGATTAAAGAAATTCATACCATTCTGTATTATTATACCTTATTAAAAAGAAAATGACTAATTTTTCTTTTGACGACAGGCAGTGATGGGAGCCATTTATTTCCTCTACATATCCTTTAACAAGGACGAAGGGCCTAGAGGAGGGGGTGACCCCTTGAGTGAAGAGGAAAGCTTAGAAGAAGCCAGGAGAATTATGGAGAAGTACAAGTGACTGGCTCTGGAGTTCAATATCGTTTTTGAAAAAGAAGAATGTGGAATCATATTGTTCTCTAACTTCCAGTATTTCACAGTTTAAAAACTACCATGATTTTTTGTTGAATACAGAATTTGTAAAGCAAGACTGGAACCAGTTACTTAAAACAGTAAATAGGAAGCTCTATATTCCAGACAAACACAGCCAACCTTTTAAAATGTTTAAAAAAAGGTACTTCGAGGGGATTTGATTTCTCACCTACTCTCCTTGAAACTGATTAGTATTCTTTGGAGCATTCTAGAAAGTTCCTCATCTTTTTATTGTGTTGAAGAGATTTCAAAAAGATAATGCTATTTAGGTCGAATTCAGATCATGGAATATGACTTGTGGGGGAAGGCCTTCAGAGAGTTGAACGATATACGAGAGGAATGATAATCTGGGTGAATTCCTTCAGGTTGAATGGTTCAAAAAGGATGCTTTTAGAACTTGATAAATGCAACTTGCAGAGATATTGAGGGTCTGTTTGGTTGGAAAATAAAATAATAAGCTGTATCAATGAAGGCTTAAGCTTTGTGAGTTTGGATAAAATCTGTAATGGCTATTCAAATTGTTTACTAATGAGGAGACTTGAGCCCTATGACTGTCTAAGATTGAAATGGAGTGAGAGCAATGACGACAGAGACTTGAATAATACTTACCAATAAACACAGAAAACTCAAAGCAGCTCTTTATGCCGCACCTTTGATCTGTAATTTTCAGAAGTTCATAATTGTTTACAGTACTTTCCAAACTTCAAATAATATAAAAGAATAGAGGTAAAATACATGTAATTGCAGCCCTGTAGCTTATATAATCATTCTTCTAAAATAATTGAGGAAGCATGAAATTGACCATTAATCCAGCAAGTGATGCCTTGAATAATGAATTGCTGTTAGAAGACCTGTGAAAAGTAGAGAAGGTTTATCAAAAGATGAACTTCTTGATTTTAAAATTATGAAAAATCTTTGCCAAATCTGTGCTTTAAATTATCTTATAAAGACAGATTATGATGTCTAGTAATCTGGAAGCTGTAATGAATAAGGCTCATGAAAATTATATTTTGTAAATTGAAGAAGCATTTACATGACATATAGGCTTCGTTTGGGAAACTTTTAGATCACTTTTTTTTTTTTTCTTTCAAGAGATTTTTTTATAAAAATCAGATTTATAAAATAGTAAAAAAGCCGTTTCAAACGAGTAATGAAAAATATTTAACATGAAAGAAATCTACTGTCTTACTCATTGTTTGAATAAGTCTTCTCAAGGTTTGGCATGCACAATTCAGGCTGCCTGACAATGTAAATCTGATCGCCTCTACTGCTTTCTTTATAAGCATCCTGATTTCGATGCCATGTCCATAAAGCATATGTCGAGTTGATCACCTGCACATTTTACATAAAACCATTTAAAGCAGATGAAATTTGGGAAATAAATGTGTGAATGAGTGCTTACTAAATTGAACCGATTCGAGCTGAGTACCATTTTATTCAAGTTTGTTAACTTATTTTCTAATTGAATTTAAGATGAGCTTGAATATAACCCCAATTTTAAAATCTTGTTCAAACTAACTTATTAGTTTTCTGAAGAAGTTCGAGATATACTTTTAATCAAGCCTAACTAATTATATACTTGGTGCTAACAAAGTATACATATTTGTTCTAATATTTATAGAAAGTAATTTGTATATATTAGTTATTTTTCAATATTTGTGACGGAGGTCGCGACTACTAACCTGTTCGGGACAACGCTGGACGAACCGCTCGGTGTGAGACGAGTCGAACTCGAGCTTGTCTTTTGAGCTCGACTCGAACACCCCCTGACTCGAGCTCAACTCGACTCGTTTGCACCCCTAATCGAGCCTAATTAATTATATAATTGGTACTAACAAAATATAATTATTTGCTTATCACCAGACATAAATAGATTTATGCTGCTGGGAAGTTCAAATATTTATAAAAAGTAATTTGTATATATTAGTTATTTGTTTAATATTTGCAACATACTTATACCTTAAATTATATGCACGAATATAAATGAATATATAATAAATTAACAAATAAATAAATAAATTATAATTAAATGGGTATTTAATTGAGCAACCAGCTGAACAATAAATAAACATATTCACGAATATAAATGAATGAGCGAGACAATGCTCAAATTTGTATTTATTACTCGTCTTTAAAATTTTGACCAAGTTTATTTAATTACTAAAATAAATGAATATAAACATGCCTTATATGAAAGGGTATTGAGATGTTCATCAAGTTGACTAATTTGCTTACAACCCAAATCATTGATAAAGAGAACCCTAATAAGTTTGAGAAATAAACCTCAAGAATTCCATGACCAAAGCTGCTTTCTCTGAACGCGCTCCATTCTGGCTGCTGATCCCAGCAGAATTTGCCCTTCGCTGGGCCAGAAGAAAAGTTGATATGGCAGACACCCCCAATTTCAGGAATGTTATCATCCTGAGATGGGCATTTTCCAGAATCATCTGCATGATCAACGTCAATTTGCTCAATATTTCCTCCATCTCCTACAGTAATATAAACTGGACCACATGAATCCAATGTATAGTTGTAAACTCTGTTCATTCGTTCATAAGCATGAACCTGGACAAAGAAGAGCAACAATGGGGTCTGTTGATTAAAGAACTCTCAAGCAATTTGCTGTAAACTTCGGTTTCTATTTTTGCTTTTGATTAAGGTATACATACTGTTAAAAGGATCAATATCAAAGAATATTCCTATATTATTGTAAAGGGTAAAATTTGAAAGTCCATAGTACTGAAAAAATGGATAAAATAAGGTTGAATAAATGTTTACTTACGTGACCAGAGAATACAATATCAACACGATAATGATACAGAAGCCCTTCCATTTCCTGCCTCATGCATTCGAATTCTTGGTAATGAGATGAATAGCTGTTATACCAAGGAGGATGCCAAGAAGCCACGACCCAGGGAGTTTCAACTCGGTCAACTTTAATCAAATCTTCCTTTAGCCATGCATACTGAGCGCCTACAGTCAAGCAATATAGCCAAGTAAATATGCGGTATTATTGTACTAGCAAAAAGACAATTAAGCATCAGTTTCTTGACATCTGAAATAATCTGAATTGTGACCTCAAACGGTCAAAGATTCAAAAAATACTAACCTGTCTGATTGTAGTTAACATAAGCACCTAGCATGATGAAATGCACCCCACCAGCATTGAATGAGTAGTAGAAGCTGCTATTGGAGCGACTTTCTTGTGCTGGAACGGCAAATCGTGCCTGATAAGAACTGAAATTCATTCCACCAATTTGTGTCTCAATTTCATGATTGCCTTCAATCACCATCATAGGTATCTTTGATGTAAGGGGTTCCATAAACCTATACAACAACAACAACAACATCATCATCGCGATCTGACTTCTTCCTTCAGCATTTCACCGCAACATGTCCGATTTCGAGAGAAAAGGGATTAGAAAATAGCCCTAAACCCTAAAAAACGGAAAAGGCGCGAAAAAAAATGAAGCCCATGTCTTTGAAATCCAACGATCGTACTGCCTATAAAAATGGAAAATGAGAGAGCCAAAGTAATGAGAAAATGACTTGTCACTGTGAAGCTAAAGGGTATCATACCCTGGGGATTACGAAATAACGAAAAAGTAAAAGTGACCGAGATGCGAGGGGAAAACTTTTGTTTCACATTTCCGGAAAGACCACCTATTTGTTCGTTTACCAGGTTCGGCAATGGTAGGGTGAATCACTGCTTTCCTTGTGCGCTGCAGCTTTGCTTGCATGACTTCGCTCGTGCTTTATTGGAATCGACAATAGCAGCCTCTATTGTTCTTTCGACCTTGTCAGCCTAGCTGTTCGCGTGCTTTGCTTGGTTTGCGCAGCTAACGCTACTATAGAAAATAGAAAGGCCTGCCCGCTTTAATAGCTTGTGCCGCTTGGCCCGTCATTCCCGGGTGGCCGCCTATTCTTAGGTTCAAGACTTGAATGGGAGTCAAAGGGCTATCGAGCCCCTCTGCAATTCCAACCAGGTGCCGTATCCAAAGGGATATTCTGTGCCGAAATTCAACATTTTTTATGGCAATAAAAATCCCAGACATCACCTGGCTCAATTCAAAGCCACATCCCCTACGATGATAGGGCAGCCAGCTCGACATTCGGATATTCAGTTTTCGATCTGAGAAGGATGGACCTTGTACCCCAAAGGTGCCTATGAATAGGCGGGTTGAAGCAACTTGCTACTTCTATCGTATTCAAGTCAAGCTTTTCTTACCGGTTCATCAGACATTGTCAAAGCTGTAGCGTGAGAGGGGGAAACCAAGCTAGAAAGTTTCACGAACTAGCTTGATCGCTTCTTTCTTTTCTTTCGGTTGTCCTTATGAACTGATTGTTCTACACTTCTTACTTGGTGTAGCTTGGAGAAAAAGAAATGTTTCTAACAACCTTTATTGTTGATCGAATGGAGAAACGATCAGCACTGGCGAAAAAGAGGTCGGCTTTACATAATAAGAAGGGTAAATAAGAGGCTTATGAATTTAAGCTCTTCTCTATGAAGAAGACCTCCTCGCTCTTCGTCCATTTCCGATAGGATCTTTTCAGCGAAGCCGGGAGTTGGAACGCAGCGAGGTCGTCCTTTCTTTTGAAACAAGCATTTTAGTCTTGCTGTTAGGTATGGGAATGACCCCCAATTCTAGTATTCTATGAAAATCGCTTTTTGTCTCGCATGGTGCTAGGCACAATTCTTCAAGCACATATTTGAGAGAATGATAGGCGTTTTAACAACATTTCCCTTTTTCATACATATGATGGTTGGCCACTGCTAGGATCCCTTCATTAGCTCTCTACTCCTTAGTTGTCGGATGGTCTACCCGAAGACCAATTTCTTTCATTTTTTTCTCTTGGCCGCTGGAAAACCTTTCGATCTTGGTAACATGTCCATCTCTCGTACCAATGGCTCCTTTTGGGGCCTCACTTCAAAACCGCGTATTTCTACTTGTTGATCACCCGGGAACCGATAGCCCCCAGACTCCTATTTCTTCTACAGGGAGTGAATTTGTTTGCAAGAGATTCACCACCAAAGAAATGTATCTCGCACGATCAACACAGCAACCTCCACTCGTCGAAGGCTACGTTTGTTGCTCCCTTTCTCGCTTCCGAGAGGCAAAAGGATTGGATATGAGCATAGATGCGTATGGTATAGGAATCGGTAAGAGAAGGTCAAAGCCTTCCACGGATTACGAACTGGAGTTTTCTAATGAACGAAATGCAAGAGGAGGCCCTTCTTTTCTACACCCCTCTCTAGACACTTCTTCGAGGTTGGTGAGAACCGTTGAGCCATTGGCTTGCTGAGCTTCTCTGATTGGGTAGATCACCTGCATCACCGAGAGCGACGCTTCTGTGGGATTCAACCCGGTTCGGCAAAGAGAGTTTGGTCCTGTAAAATGGATTAGCTCTCACGCTGAAAACTCACTCCTCCAGACCTTCGGTGCTCGCACATGCTTAGAATAGGCAGGGAACATGCGGAGCATGGTCATCAGTGGGAACTGCTTATCCTAGTGAGTTTTACGGACCCATTGGGCCGAAAGCTTCTCAAGCTCAAGCATTTACTTTTCTAGTGAGAGACCAACGTCTTGGGGCTAACGTGGGCCTTTGTTCCACTATGTGGGGTCAGCTACATGAATCCTTTTTCTCCATTGTGTCATGCTAAAAGTCAAATTCTCATTTAAATCTAATAAAGAAAGATCATTTCTAATATTTTCTAACCAAGTCTTTTAGGTTTACCTCTACCTTTCTTAACTTAAATCAAATCTAATACCTCTACTTTCCTAACCAGGTCATTGGAAGGCCGCTGTTTTATGTGACCAAACCATCTAAGGCGACTCTCTCTAGTCTTGTCTTCCACTGGCGCTACTTCAACCTTTTCACGTATATGCTCATTTCATATCCTATCTCTAAGGATAAGCCACTTATCCACCTGAGCATCCTCATCTCTGTTACACTTAACTTAGTATTATGCTTCTCTTTTAATAGCCAACATTAGGCATATACGCGAAAACCTATAATGCCGCAAAATTGTTATGTTCATTATGAAAGGTAATCAAGGATCCTCACAAGATGTAACTCCAGAATCCACAAACATTAAAAACATCATCTTTGTGGTCATAATTGATGTAAATTAATAAATAATGCTACATAAGATGCACCTTAGGAAGAAATAGAAATAGACCTAAGGTTGTATAGATAAAAATTATTCAAAATAATATGTGAATACATTTAACATTATAGACAGCACTCAACAGGAAAGAATGTAAAATGAGGTTCATAATACATACTCCAAATAATTGGGAAACTTCCAACAATGATGATGATAAAATGACCTTTGACATTCACTAGCATGAAAATGAATGAAACAATTATCTAAGGCATGAAAGGACTATAGATTTAGGATTTTAATATGATGCATGCAAAGGCTAGATCTATCTTGCAAACATATTAATGAAAGTGAACTTTAAAACATTTTAAACTAAACATATTTTGTACGAATTAAAACGTTACTAAGATTTATTTGTTATATAAGTGAAGAAACGCTAACCCTGTAAAGGAAGAAGTTGCAAGAGATGAGGTTGCCTTGTGCATTAAAAATAAATAAATAGATAATGAGGTTGCCTTGTGCATGTTGTTCAGATGATCAAACACATCAGCTTTGCATTGTATAGTTTATACCAGTACTAGATCATGCAATTTCATCATTCAAAGTGAGGAGACAACCACTTGAAGCTATGAAAATTCAGTGCCAGTTATACAATCAATATTGGTGAATCCGTCTTGTATGCAACAATGTGCTTCAAAGATTTCTTATGAGTGTTAAGTTATAATTGGAAAGGAGTTATAGAGAAGATCCAAATATTCACCACAATAATAAATCAAGAAAGAATACATGTTTTAGAAATCTTGGGTCTATTGTTCAAAGTAATGATGAAATAAATGAGGATATTATTAATAGAATTCAAGTTAGATGGATGAAGTGGAGGAATGCATCGTGCGTGTTGTGTGATAGAAAAGTACCACTCAAATTTAAGGAAAAATTCTATAAGATGGTGGTTAGACCTGCAATCCTTTATGGTACAAAATGTTGGGTATTAAAAGAGAAGAGTAATATTAAGTTAAGTGTTTTAGAGATGGGGATGCTCAGGTGTATGAGTGGCTTTACTCTTAGAGATAGGATACAAAATGAGCATATATGTGAAAACGTTGGAGTACCTAGGTAGATAAGATTAGATAGAGTCGCCTTAGATGGTTTGGTCACATAAAACGACAGTTTTCCGATGACCAGGCTAGGAGATTAGATGTATTAGATTTAACCTATGTTAAGAAAGTTAGAGATAACCATAAAAAGATTTGGTTATAAAATATTAAAAATGGTCTTTCTTTATTAGATCTAAATGAGAATTTGACTCTTAATCGGACACAATGGAGAAAAAGGATGTAGCCAACCACATATAGTGGGATAAATGCTTGATGTTATTGTTGTTGTTTGTATTGAATCAAGAAAGAGAGTTGCTGAATATTGACTCAATATTAGGATTTTTGAAGAGATTTAACCGTTTGTGTTAGTAGGAACAACTTTCTAAGGATCATATGAAGCCAAGAGAATTGTGAAGAGATTCAATCAAATGCTTTGGGGGATTTCTCGAGATCTATGCTAGATGTGGGTTCCAAAAATTCACACTCCAGCTTCTCAGTAACATTTTTCTTTTTGCGTTTGGCGAGGAGAGTTTTAATAAGTTTAGGTTCTAGGATAAATTTTCAGAAGGCATATTGGCTTTTAGATAAGATGCTATCCAGAGATTTCTCTCTCATTTTGCAAGGACTTTATAATCTAAGTTCAAGTTTCCTATAGGCACAAGACCCTATAGATGGTTTTATGTCTTCAGTTTTTTGGGTGATTTATTTCATCTTAAATATCTTAATTTTTGTGATTTGAGTTCTGAACTTTCATTGAAATTGGAGCCCCATAATGGTTGATTTTAAGATTTGGAGGCATTGAAAAAGCATGATCCCCTCCAGTTGAGATTAACTTTCAACATGGCCCTCATCAAAGTGACTAAAAATCAATTTAGATGCTTCTATTTTATAGGTATTTAGGAGGCATTTTAAATGTTCGGGGTCTCCTTTATTTGATATTTTTTGACAACACGACTATTATTAGGGTGATATTATAGTTATTTGAAAATATTTGTGTTTATAGGAATTTGACGACATTTAAAAGGGTAGAGTCACCTCCAGTTGAGATAAACATTCAACACAATCATCATTGGAGGCTTTGAGTAATTTCATTTTATTATTTGAACTTTGTCAACTCTGTTTGATTGCCAATAGAGGATCGTGTTCAACTCCTAATTTTAAGAGTTGTCGTATGCATATCAAAACTGGAGTATGTCTTTGATGAATGAATTTTCTTTATAAAAGAAACCTTGAATGCCTAATATGAACATATAAAATTCAAATATTCTGATTGATTTAACGAGTAACGATTCCGAGTTTATGTTTTTAATAGTGATCATTTCTTGCAATAGACCTTGAAGGCCTAACCGCCTAATATAAACTTTTAAAAGAAAATACTCCGGTCGACGCTACAATCGTATATTTGTTCGATGGTTCAAGTCATGTCAACTTCGGTCCATTCAAAGGGAGAATCGAATGTGAACCTAAGTTCACTTTTGAACCGGGCAGTATTCTCAAGTAAAGGTTTAGGGGTGTAACGCACTTGTCGGAGCACATGTGGGTATTTTAAATTTACATGATATGCATGCTCAATGGTCTATTTGTTATTTTCTTTTGATCAGTGCAGCATCCTCAGATGTCACGTGTGTATATATATAACACTCATCAGGGATGATGCGGTATTTTACTTTTCAGTGCATTTTGCACAATTACACATTTGCATGTGCATTTGCATTATTATTTGGTGTTTGTTTGCACAAAAACATATTTGCATGCTTCATGATTTGAACAACGCATTTTCATAGTATGAATAATGCATTTATATAATTTGCATGATGCATTATGCATTTATATAATTGTTACATGATTGGGATAATGCATTTGCATTATTAACATAATGCACCTTAAGAATTGGCATGACACGTCTATATGCGTAACAAACATAATACATTTGCATGATGATTGTAGGATATGCTTAATCATTTGTATGGTATATTTGCATGATGCAGCCACACTAAATAATACATTAATATGTTACATTATGTGCTTGCACAATATTTGATGCATGTACATAATATACTTATATAAACTTTAGTATGTATATATAATATACTTTTGTATTATTTAGTATGTGCATGGTATGCCTGCATATGGCTTGGTATGTATACATAACATATTTATATATTGTATGTGTGCATTTTGAATACTTGCATGTGCATTCATATATTGCTTATCATATGTGCATAATATACTTGCAATTGTATAATGCACTTGTACATTTTACTCGGTGCATTTGTGTGACGCATCCACACAAATCTCGATGCACTTGTATTGTGGCATGACCATTGGCGTATGTACAAAATGGCTTGCATGATCAACAGTAGGTGTCCATGTTAGTGTGCTCTCGTGATTAACGGTATGCATGCTGTTAAATCCCAACCGTCCCTTGGCAATTTTGATCCCACGGCTAGGATAGGAATCCATGGGAGCCGTCCCTTGGCATTTTGATCCTACGACTAAGATGGGAATCCATGGGAGGCTCACCTGGATCACGCTGATGTCCTTCCATATTTAGATGGCTCATTTAGGAAGGATTATATTAGAGCAATTATGCATTATTCTGTAATTAATTGTTTCTTTATTAATATATCTTATAGATTTATAAGTAGGCACAGGTTTATACACTAAAATTAAGCCTTTTCCCTTTCGAATTCTCTGAATTTAACACACACATACCACTTGATGTATATGTATAGTGCATTTATTTGTTTGGTACATGCACATTATACAATATGGGCTCATATGCAACACCCTCTTTTGGTGATTTTGGCACATCATGCGCACTTTAATAAGGGGTCGTACAACCCGTGGCATGTAACAATGTACCATTTTTTTTCTTTTTAAAAACAAATGTTCATGGGGTGCATGAAACATTCATGGAGAGTGTACGAGTCTCCTAACTTTAACAGCTGGCGTGCACACTACCTAAGGCACTTGTGCACTCGTGACTCCTATTTGTCATTTTATATTTAAAGCTTTCTTCAACGGGTCCCACAAGGTGTTAATTTCCTGGGTTATAAATAGGGAACCCGGTCCTAGTTCATTTCTTTACACTTTTTCAATTTAGAGCGTGTGTTGTAAAGGAGTTTGCGTATGCACTTGCTAGTAGCTAAGAAATAAGAGTTTTCATCTATTTGTTGGTAAGCAACTAGTTCTCCTACAAGTTCTATTTTGCTAAGTTTTGATTTTCAGTTAATCTCTTCTTTCAGTGTTTAGAACGTAAGATGTCGTGCACTTCATATCTTATTGGCTTAAGAATTTGGGTAGATTTCAATTTCTTTAAATTTTTCTAAATCATGAGTTTTTGTTATAAATTTCGGTTGCAACCTGACGCCATCCCTATGTAAGGGGCTGCATCGGGGTACCAAGCCATCCCGCATGCTAAAACAGACAGGCATGGTTGGTGTCAGGTGACACCAAAGCCGAACTCTCGTCTGCCAAGAAAGGCAATCACGGGTCTTCAAGTACTTATTTCTAAAGCAAAACATTTTCCTTGCCTTAGGTGCGCAATTACCTAGGCGACAACAGTGTGAGAGTGTCGTGAAGAATGATGGGGGCCAAATGGGTGAGTGAGTGTATAAGTGAATGAGTTATGTGAGGGGTAGTTTAGGTATTATTTAGATTTAGGATTTTTTCTTTTTTTTTTAAATTCATTTTTTTCATTATTTATAATTTATTTTAATAATAAAATTGATGTGATTTTTTTATTGTGGTTTGACGTGATTGCCACGTTATTGTTTGCACACGTCGTCGCCTCGATATGCACGCACGAAATTTAATTTTTATCCAATCGACGACCCCAATCAATATGAGTGTCAATCTTAGATGTTTTTGTTGCTCTGGACGCACTAACACAGTCCATTTCGTAAACATAGGCCATTTTGACAATTTGGATTTTTATTCAACACGCATCAGGTGAGTTACGCACGATGTCATGCTCTTTTGCCTTTGAAATTCACCATGTGAGGTTGACCCAACCCTGACGCTAGTATTGAGGTTAACACTAGACTTATAGATGGTGTGATGTCATATGGCCTTATTAGGATTCAGAAATCCCATCTTAGTTCAAATGCAAAGGATGACACAATGGTTTGATGAACTTAGGTATGAACATCTCAGTTCTTTCAAGCAAAGGATAGCAGATGCATGAAGAAGGATGATCTTAGACTAAGATTTGACATATCTTGGACAACCTTTATTTATATATACTAGGGATAAGAGTTTCTCACTTTTTTTTAGGATTGGCGGTTTTGACGTGCAACCCAGTTAGGGTTTTTTTTTTTTGTGTTTGCAAGAAGATTGATCTTCCTAAGGTAAACATCTTTGTGAGATTTTTTGAATTTCTTTCAGAGCAAACATAATAGTACTTTGGGAAGGGGCAATGAGAGCGTTTTATTGCACTCCACTTGTGGTTTTACTGTCTAATGGATCAATTTTTTCCCTCTCCCATGGATAAATGCTTTGTTTAAGTCGAATCACATAAATATTGGTGTGCTATGTGTTGCTTAATCTTTCATTTTCTGCTTTGTGGCACATCATACTTTTGATTTTTGTACAGTCATGACTTTTCTGTTATGCTTTCTTTCTGTCTGAAAGCCATGACCTGTATTTGTACATGATTTTTTTGAGGAAGAAAAAAAAATATAGATGTTTTGTTCCGCTGTATTTGATGTTTCATAGTAGCTCCATGTGTCTGTGTTTGAGTTGAAATATTTGGAAGATTCAGTTCAGAAGCAAATTCCAAAGCCAGATCCTGGTCAGTCAGTTTGTTCGTTCCAGTAGCGACCCGGTGCGAGCGGGATCCGTCCCGGATCGGGTCGGGTCGTGACAGGTTATGCCTATATGTATAAATCTCATAAAATATTGGATTAAGAATTTATTTTATGATTTAAGATAAATGAAAGCAACTTTACAACTATAAGCATATTATCAATTTAGGATTATGCCTATATGTATATATCTTATTAAACTTTGGACTAAGAAAATGTTTTACTATTCAAAATAAATATTGTTTATTTGGGCTATAATTCAACAGAATCATATATATTTTAAGATTCAAAATAAATATTGTTTATAGGACATGGTTATCCTTATGCATTTTGTCTAATAAGATATGGGTTTCTTGAAGTTATTACTAACCTCTATATACATTTGTTTCATGAGCTATTTGTAGTAAATTATTGCTCGAATGAGAAACAATTCAATACAAAATAACATTCGATCACATAAATTTCTTATGGCTTGAAATTTGATGCTCGAGCAATTTCAAAATTGTTCTCCTTTGATCGTCTGATTTTGTATATAACGACTTGATTGAGTCTATGATATCAAAATGATATATTTTACAAATTTGTTGTAAACTTTTTCGATTATAACCACTGCAACACCAACCCTTGATCATTTTTGTTGGTTGTTGGGCCTATCAGACATGCTCGAATAAGATTTAGGCTTCGTTTGTGATAAAATCATTACGTGCGGTTATCGGATACCGTCCAGATGCAAATTAGGATGCGTCACTTCACCATTTGCTATGTAATGGTGTTGTGTACCAGGATGACATAGAGTATCCTGATTCGCTTCTGGACCGTCCGGTGACCACACGTGATAATCTTTCGTTTGTGATAGCTTTTTTACTGCTTCTTAAAGCGGTTTTTTAGTAAAAAAAAAAAAAGTTTGGATGATAAATTTTTGTAATAGAAAGCTGCTTTAAAAAGCTGCAAAAAATTATCTCAAATGAAGTCTTAATTTGTTTTATGAATTTTAATATTTGGCCGAAAATTTAATAAATAAATAGGAGGGTATTAATTTTTAAATAGCCATACGCATGAACTTGTCCTGTTATATTAACTATCAGAAGTGAAAAAAGTTTTTTTTTTTTTAATCAGTTTAGTGTAATTAAATGTGGAGGTGGTGTGAGATTTCTATAAGGCGGTGTAGGGCTCGCACATCCAGTCCAGTCTCTCATTTTCTGGTCCTCCCACTTTTTTTTTCTTTCCAGAGAGAGAAACAGAAAGACAGACAGAAATTAGAAAAGAGGGAGGAGAGTGAGAGTGATAGAGAAAGCAGAGAGAACAGAGACATAACTGGAGGCCATGGCGTCATCTCCAATTTGGCTCACATTGCTTGGATTCCTCGTCTTGGGTTTTGTCGGCGGCTTGGGGTGGATTGGAAGCCAGAATCGCGACGTCTTGAGGTACATTATGTTTTCAACTTATGGAGCATCGATTTGGATAAACGGGTGTTTCAGATATGCTAATTATCTATTCTTTGCGAATGGCGAAGTAGAATGTTCTGTTTGTGGTCTACGGGTTTTTCATCTTCAATCGATTGCGATTTTTTTCTGTTCTCTCGAGAAATTTGTGGCAAAATTGATGAATCCTAATATTTCCTAGAAGTCTGAGTAGAAGCAGATGAACTGAAGAGATCGGAAGGTTATTTACAGAGCTTTTGCTTCTCTGCAAAAGAAAAAGAATACATCGGAAATGACGGAATCTAGATCTGTTCTGTCGGTAGTTTTGTCTTGTAGCAGATAAAATGCAATTGCATGAAGCTCAGATGTCGAAATAGAAACAGAACGACGCTCTCTCTGTTTCTCTCTCAAAACTATGGCTGAAACTTACGCTCTCTGTCTCGTTTCTTGCAGTCATGATCGGCCTTCGATGAGGAGCTTGAAGGATGAATCCACCATGCGCAGCAACTTGTCTTCCATTCAATCAAAGAGGTGAGACCCCAGATCTCTGTTTCTGAACCTTCTCTAACAGATCTGGATTCCGCCACTGATCTGCAGACCAAGGTCATGCAGTTGTGTTAGTGTGGAAAATCTTTGCCGTTGATTTCCCTCTATAAATTCCCTTTTTGCTTGTTCTCTCATAGATCTTTATCCTTGGTTCTCCTAAGGAAGATGATGAAACCGTTGGGGGGTACTGTAGTCACTTCGTCTTCACAAACGAACTTTTCTTTCTTTTATCTTTTTAAAATTTATGCTATTGGACGACAAATGAGAAACATAAGTAGTAGGGGTAATTTTGTCATTAACGCTAACGCGCTCTTTTTGTATCGCGATTCAGGGCGCTGCAGAAGGAGGTGGAGGGAGCCGTCGAATATCCAGAGTTGGTCGCTTCAATGGTCCACATGTAAGCAAGCTTTCTTTTAATTCCATATTGTTGCTCCCTATAATTAGGGAATCAGAAATTTTCTTAATAAAATGTATAAAATAATTAATTTTATTCATATGCCTTCACATTTACAAGTTTTCATCAAATTAATATTAAAGCAAAAATTACAACGCTTATTTGTCGAAAAAATGATATCATTATTATTCACATTTCCATAATTTTATTAAACAAATACTTCGGTATATTTCGACAAAAAATTATTATATTTAGGTTTTATTTAGGATAGCTTCGTTGTTGCTTTCTAAAACAACTTCTTAGGACACAAAAATTTTGAATTAGAATTTTTATACTAAAAAATAATTTTATAAAGCAGCAAAAAATTTGTCCCAAATTAACATTAATGCTTTCACATTTTAATTTTTTTTTTCTTCGGAGCAACAATGAATGTGAAGGGAGTCTCACTTAATTAGGATGTATGTAAGGATTAGTGCTTATGAATTATTTTTATTTTATTTTATAAAACTATATTTACACCCGTTAAAAGTAATATTGGATGATTATATCTAACATGACAACAGCATATTAGAAATATTTCTACTTTTATAATGATAATGATAACCCAATGCACGTTTTCATAATAATTTATTTATTTTAGGGAATAAAGTGGTTGAATTTGCTCTCCTCATTATTGGCTCATGCTCGAACATATCAATCAACTAAGTTTTATTAAATTATACTTTTATGCTAATCTCTTCCAAAAAATATTTAATAATAATAATAATATTTAACAATATTAAATGTAACCTGTATTAATTAGAAAAATATTCCCATTTATTTAGATCAAATAAACATTATAGAAAAATTCATAAAATATTAAAAAAATTAGTATTCTCTTTTACTCTCATCTAAATAGATAAAAAATTATATGAAGATGTTTTTTTTATATATATAAAGATGTTATGATATAAATTTTATTAAAATAGGTTTGAAAAATTAGTAGATTATCAGTGAAAAAAATAAACAATTTATGTTATATTATAGAAAATAAATTTAATTAATTTTAAATCCATTTTAAATTAAATTATATAAGGATATCTAAACTAATATTTTATTATGTAAATATAGGATAACGGTCACTTTCACTTCAGCTCCAAAGAGCTGGAAATGTACCCGTTGGAGGCTGAGTTTTTATTTTTATTTTTCTATAACAATGCTTTTTTCGCTATCACATGCCTTTTAGCATCTACCCGACTGTTTATAGACTAGTGTAATAAGAAACCTCCATTAAATTAATCAAGCTACCATTGTTGAATTTTATTTAAGAGTTGTAGACTTTGTATTCTATCTATCATTTGGACAAACTTTTTCAATGAGCTCACGTGCCTTTCAAATGGTCCCAATAACTTTCCTTGGGCTGGGCTGAGATGGGCCTCTTGTGGTAGTGCCCACGATGACTGTTTGTTGCTTCCAAGGAAGTTCTTGAACATTCAATTTATAAATGTTCAAGACTGGTTGGTGAAGGGCTTGTTCACATGGTTTTATGTGATATAGGTCTATATTAGTTGTAGGGTTCCTAATGTTTAGATCTGTCTTTGATTTTGGAAAAATCTTTTATCATATTTCATTCACATCAAAATTTTGACTTAAGCTGGTTTGATTCATTCTTTATTAGAATTAAGCTTGGTTTCTTGTGTCTAAAATTAGTTTTTTTTTTTGCAACTATTTTTGTTTTTATTACAAGAGCAGTGTTGCAGTAAAAAATCAAATAAATGATTTATGGACATGCTCATTATTATCTAGTCGAATAATGCAAGCAGAGATGTCCTTTTATGTGGAAATTATTTTTTACAGTCATAGAACTGTTCAAAGGTGAATCAGAATGCGTTATGTCGTCCGGTACACAGCAAAAAAGTGACGTAGTGCATCTTGATTCGCCTCTGAACAGTGTCCAATGACCGCATAGAATAATTTCTCCATTTAAGGTTTGTTTTTATGTAGCATGAAATAAAATGTATAAGTAATATGACATCGGCTGGGACGATTTTCTTAGTGCTTTTAAAACTAATTTTATACTTAAAAAAATTTAGTTCTTGTACTAAAAACATATTTTAAAAAATAATAAAAAAATTGTCTCAAACAAAACCTAAAAACAAAAACAATATTTTCAACGCCACGGATAGCTTGAGGAAAAAGAAGAATTGTTTTTTTTTTTTTCATAGAAACTAAAACTTGCTAGTCCCCTAATTTTTAATAGAAAACATGTAAATAAAACGAAGTTTGTATGTACATTTCTATCTTTATATATATCTATACTATTGTTCAGATTTAATTGATTTAAATAACGAATGAGCTGATTAGTAATAATTATAGAGCCAGCACAAGCTCTTTTATTTCTTGCATGCGCATAAAACATTTGATGAAATGCTTGATCGATCTGCAGGGCCATCAACAACAGCATGGTGCGCCGGTCACTGAACTACCTTTCCTGCGGAACTGGAAACCCCATCGACGACTGCTGGCGTTGCGACCCTAATTGGCACAAAAACCGCAAGCGTCTCGCCGACTGCGGCATCGGCTTCGGCCGCAACGCCATCGGCGGCCGCGATGGCCACTACTACGTTGTTTCAGACCCCAACGATTATGACCCCGTGAACCCAAGGCCAGGCACCCTCCGCCACGCCGTCATCCAAGAGGAACCCTTATGGATCATTTTCAAGCGCGATATGGCCATCAGATTGAAACAAGAGCTCATCATCAACAGCTTCAAGACAATTGATGGCCGCGGTGCCAACGTCCACATTGCTAATGGAGCTTGCCTGACTATCCAGTTCGTCACCAATGTTATAATCCATGGAATTCATATTCACGATTGTAAGCCTACAGGAAACGCCATGGTGCGAAGCTCGCCTTCGCATTATGGGTGGCGTACTATGGCTGATGGAGACGCTGTGTCTATATTTGGTTCCAGTCATATTTGGGTGGATCACTGCTCGCTTTCACGTTGTGCGGATGGGCTTGTGGATGCTATCATGGGATCAACGGCTATCACCATTTCGAACAATCACATGGCTCACCACAATGAAGTATGTGATTTCTGTTTTTATTTGCTTTCAGTTTGCGTTGATCAGTTTTTACCTTTTTTTACACTTGAGATCTTTAATTTATAATTTTTTTTATGTTCACGATAAAAACTTAGATCTTAAAGACAGATCATAGTTCATCTGTCTTTCTTTTGGGGACAAAATTCTGATAAAGGCTGACTTAGATACATGTGAATGCATAAAACTACTGGGAGTTTCTTAAAACTCATTTGTTTGCTTGAAATTAAAAAAAAAAAAAAACTTTTTGATAAGAAAAAAATAATAGAAATATTGTGATCAAAATTTTGATTGTGATTATTTAAAATTATAAAATTTATTGCGAGATGAATGAAATTAATTACGTTTTGATTAATTTTAATTTATTATATTTATTTTAAAGAAAATTTAATGGCTATGATATTTATGTGATGAAAATTTGATAAGAATGTGTAGATCTATTTTTTTTTTCTTGAAAAATGATAAATTCATTGGTTTTCGACTTTTCGTTTATGTAGTTAGATATAGTTGAAAATTAATATTAGTCTTGAACTTTAAAATCACCTTCAAATTTTCTAAAATAATTTTTTTTTATTATCACTCTTTATTATGTTAAAGTTTGTTTTCACAAAGTATTTTTCATTAATAGGGATTTATATGAAAAAAATTGCAGATCTTAATGTGTTGAATACTTGAATGAATGATTATAATGAATGTTTTATAGGATTTCTATATGATTTAAATCACAGGTAAATTTATGCAAATTCCGTGACAAACACTCATTCCTTATAACAAAGCCGATTAGGAACTCCTTGTGTGAAATCTGTCCAAATTTCATGGCCTCACACAACTCACAGGTTGATGGATGCATGCAGGTGATGCTTTTGGGGCACAGCGATTCCTACGAAAGGGACAAGGCGATGCAGGTCACCATCGCTTTCAACCATTTTGGCGCAGGGCTCATTCAGAGGATGCCAAGGTCAGCTTAATTTCTTTCTCTTTCGCTCAAGTGAGACTGCTATACTTGTATGCGTATTGGATCTTCGTACAAAACTAAAAGTTAAACTTTATACTTCTCTACCGTCACGAATATTTCAAGACGCATCTTAGCTTTATGTTTTCCTACCGCCACGAATACTCCTGGACACAACAATACTAACTCAATACTATTCTAATTAACAGATGCCGTCACGGTTACTTCCATGTGGTTAATAATGACTACACTCACTGGGAAATGTACGCCATTGGTGGAAGCGCAAACCCCACCATCAACAGCCAGGGCAACCGCTACCTGGCTCCTATTGATCGGCATGCAAAGGAGGTATAACTGAGCTAATGAATCATACATTATCTTTGCCATCTGTTTACTTTGGTAATTGAGGATTTTACTCTTATTAAGAGAGCATAAATTCAAACACATGATTGCAGTTTTTTTTGCCCAATATAAGGGTTCAAAAATTTTTAATAAAAAAATAGCTGTAAAATTATTGGGGATTTTTTTTTTTTGAAAGTCGCTCTATGTATTGTAAATTTTATTCTGAAAAAGTTGATCTTAATTTTCTTACAACTACTAGATTAATTATTTTGTGCGGATGACGAACGCTGTCTTTAGGCCAATCAGAACGCGCCACATCACCATATGTTCGGTACTGCGGCTCGGTATTGCTGACTTGGCACATTATGATTGGTAACCATTGTTAGAATTCAGTCATTTTGCAACCCCGAATTGACGGTGGCAGAAGGTTGTTTTTGATCAATCGCAGAAGTATTTCAAATGCGACCATCCACGAAATCGGTCGCTATTAAACTGTAATCTTGCAGTGAACATCTGGATTTCAAGAACTTGTTGGATTGATTTGTCTCATCAAATTAAATAATAACATAATATAGCATAGCAGATGTCAAAATCAAATAGCCAATTAGTAATTAACCAAAGAAGGTATTTATTTCCTTGTGATTCACCGTTGGTTTTTAAATTTGAATGCAGGTAACAAAGAGGGTGGAGACATGGCAGAGCGAGTGGAAGAACTGGAACTGGAGATCCGAAGGGGATCTATTTCTTAACGGTGCCTATTTCGTGCCATCAGGTGCAGGTTCTAGTTCAAGCTACTCAAGGGCGTCCAGCCTAGGCGCCAAGTCTTCCTCCATGGTCCACCTTATTACTTCCTCAGCCGGCCCTCTTTCATGCCGCCGAGATCATCTATGCTAAGTTTTCCTTTTACCTCCATCCAGTGAGCTACAGATTACACATTACCGTTTACTAGTCTTTTTTGTTAGCATTTGTGGTTACAGTCACAGTATTACTGGGTTGTTTAGTGGGTCGGTCCAAGCCATTGTTGTCCTCCGACATGCCGACCTCCGCCGGATCCCGCCGTCACTCGGCGTGGAGCGGTTGCGGAAGCGTTGTCGGATTATTTGCTTGCTCCTTTTATTTTACTTGGAGTCTTTCTTTCTTTCATTCTTCATGTTTTTTGGGTATTATTTTGCCATTCCTCTCTTATATGAGCATTTGCTCATTTCTAGTATCTTATACCTGTATTTTAGTTTCAGCAATATGGACTTTTATAGGGTTTGGGAAACTAATAGAATGGTGAATTGGATTTCAATGCTCTGTTGTGTAATATGAAAATATGCATTTTTTTTGTCCAGCTGCTTGAATTTTGTGCGGGAGTGTCTTGATGTGATTTACGTCACGATGACTTAATAAATATTAGATTTACATCAAAATTAGTGCTACATACCCACCATGGGTTGTCTTGGTGGTGAACAACTGGCTGGCCATCTTTCTTTCTTTCATTCTTCATGTTTTTTGGGTATTATTTTGCCATTCCTCTCTTATATGAGCATTTGCTCATTTCTAGTATCTTATACCTGTATTTTAGTTTCAGCAATATGGACTTTTATAGGGTTTGGAAACTAATAGAATGGTGAATTGGATTTCAATGCTCTGCTGTGTAATCTGATTATATGAAAATATACATTTTTTTTGTCCAGCTGCTTGAATTTTGTGCGGGAGTGTCTTGATGTGATTTACGTCATGATGACTTAATAAATATTAGATTTACATCAAAATTAGTGCTACATATAATATTCAAAAGCATCACTAATTTTAATATAAATTCAATAACTTTTAAGCTCATTTTGTATCCTAATTAACCTAATTCTTTTCTATTTGGCATCTCGGGACCATTATACCCCGTTAGATACTTACGGCCGCATCCTGCATTCACATAACTCCTATTTTTATGAAAAATAATCCTTTTTCACTTAAAAAATCTACATTTAGGCTTTGTGTGGGGCGGCTTTCTTACTGCTTTTTTAAATATTTTTTTAGTATAAAAATTAAAAATTTTGTACTAAAAAGCTGTTTTAAGAAACAGTAATGTATGTGAAATTGTAGAACATTTTCCTTTTCTTTTTTAATTGATTATTATAAACTATATGTATAATAAAATACATATTTCTTTTGCATAATGTAAAATATTTATGGAATCAAAGATGAACACGTGTCTGTTGATTGGTCTCCACCAATCCACAAAGCTACCTCAAATCCTCTTTCACCTACCTCAAATCCTCTTTCCCTTTTGTCAAAGATGAATCCGCCATTAGTTTTTAAAACTTTATTGAAAGTTCAAATATTAAACACTTTAGACCATTGCTTCCAATTCAAATACTAAAGTTAGAAAATTATTCTTCTCTTTCACATCAATTCTAATGGTCAACGTGATTTTGGTTCTCCATTATTTTGTTGGCTGATGGATTGATTATCCACAAATTGAAAAATAAGGATTAGAATGATTATTTAATTTTATGTGTTTGATTGGATGAAATACTAATCCAAAGCATTTAGAGAATTAGAGTTCTCTTTTTAGTTAAACAAATTTCAAGTGCACAGTATCACAACTCTTATGCTTGTGATAATTACAAAAAGTATTTTGACATCAATGATCATTATGAAGCCGTCCCGTCGCTTCCTTGACAAGATCTTCGCACACTCTTCATAACAAAGTATTCTACGTTAAACACCTTCATCATATTAAGAACCTCCACCTTCTACATCCTATGTCACCTCTATATCTACACTTGGAAATTATTTTTGTGTGGATGTTGAACGTCGTCCCAGAAACCTATCAGAATGAGCCATGTCGGTACTGCGACTTTGTACCGCTAGGTAACGCGTTCGTTTTTAATTGCTGACATGATCATTCTTATTTGTCTCCGGATGTAGAGTTATGTTCGACGTCTGCACAGAATAATTTCTTCAAACCCGACCCTAATTTAGCTTTTTTTTCTTAATATAAATTCATTTTTCATTAAAATAAAAACTATAAAATATTTATTTTATGATTAATCAAATATCTATAAAAATTTTTAAATGCACTTCATTTTAAAACATTGGAATTCTAAATAGTTAACAAGAAATTGTCCCTAAATTTATTTTAAGATTAGTATAATAAGTAAATATTTATATTAATCTCATCTCAAAATAAATTGACCAATTTTGAGGTTTATTCTAATAAATAATTTGATTTAGATATTCTAAACTATTTTTATTTATATTATGTTATATAAAAATTAAAAAAAAAATGTGAACAAATGATGGAATTGGTAGAAGATATGATGCTTGAAAAAAAATAAAACTTTAAAATTTTCTAGCATAAATTTAGTTGTAAGGACATTATTACTTAATAAAATAAAAAAGTATAAACCTATTAGGTGATCAAAATGTAAATAGATATACTAATTTTTCAATTTTAACTCAAAAACTTATATAAGCAAAAGTGTGAGGGTTAGAAAAAAAAAATTGAGCTTAAATAATTTTCAGTTAAAATAAATATAATATAAAAATTTAATCCTAAGAAATCAATAATTATAACACTCACCTTCATTAAAATTATGTGAAATATTTTAAAATAAAAATATTATTTATGCACAAAACATTCACCAACAATGCAAAAAAAAAAAATTACATAAAAAACCTCATTATACCTGTCTAAGAAATCAATAATTATAACACTCACCTTCATTAAAAATATGTGAAATATTTTAAAATAAAAGTATTATTTATGCACAAAACATTCACCAACACTGCAAAAAAAAAAATTACATAAAAAACCTCATTATACCTATCACATGCAAAAAGCTCATCCACCTCTAAAATTATACCCACGAGCTTCCCTCTAAAGTTCAAACTAAGCACATCACGAGCCTCAATGAGGGGTGCATCACCAATAATTTAGGGTATAAATAGCAACTACTATTCCATTAACCCCCCCACAAAAACTTTATTTATTAAAAATAGTAAAGTAAGAAAAAAAAAAAAACAGATGAGGAAAAACCAAGTTACCAACTAACGGCAACCAAAGTCGTCAGTCATCGTACTTCTTTCTCTCTTTCGAGAAAGAAGGAAATCCCTATTTTCCCTTTCATTTTACATTGCACCCATTCTGGCACCCACATCCATACCCACACCTACCCTCACATGCAATTTTCTAAAATAGTCAAGAATAACATAAATACACAATTTGGTGGTCATAAGTTTGGGTGAAATATACAAAATTTAGGCAAGTGAGTATAACTGAAAGAATTTTTGTGAATTATAAAATACAATATTAATATGAAATAATCGCTTGTGTATTATGACCAATCTACCCCTATGAGAAAAGTATTACTTGGGTTGTATTTATGGAGGTTAATTTCACATATAATTTCATCACTAGCGTGTTATATTACGTTAACAACAGATGCTCAATTAGCTAAATAAGTTTTGGATGATAATTAAAAAATAAAAATTATTCTGAGGAATACATGTTGGTATTGCAACTTAAGATCTATATTAGCTATCAATGCAATTATTTTCTGTGTCTACTAAGGTCTTATCTTGTTTCATAAATTCTTGTCTTCCATTGTAATCTTGAAGTCTAATTTTTTCTAATAATATTATATCAAGCTCGTGAGTTTATGTTATTCCTCAATTATCCTTATAAATGTTGAGATTTCATCTCTAATCTCGAGCTATCAACTATAACTATATATGATTCATAGCGATGATCCCTGGCAATCCAAGGTGGAATCCAAATATTAGTAGTTCATTATTTATCAATAGATCAAGATAATAACATAGGGGTATAAGAATTATAGCAACTTGTTGCAAGTATACTAGCGAATGATAAATATATCAAAGAGTTCTATGATTAAAGAGGTCTGACAGTTTGCCTAACTAAAGTAAACGTCTAACTAAACAATGTTGGTTATACCTACATTACATAGCAAAAAAGAAATGATGAAGAGTGGCATTTATCTCTCTCTAGATATTTTTAATGACCAACACAATTGTTTAGCTCACCAGAATTTTCAATTTTATACACAAAGAGCTTAATGATAGGTAAAAATCATATCTAAGGCTTTAGTAAGTGTTTTACATAGAGTGGATGGCTATAGTGTTTTCCATGATCATCACCTTAAAAAGCTTTGGTTAATCGGTATACGGTGACATAAGGTGACTAGGTCATGTTCTAAGAAAAAAGGGTTAAGCCTAGATGAGAGCCAATTTGGGATTCCAATAAACTTTATGATACGTATGTAGTCTCGTTCCCTACACGCAAATGATAGAAAAGTCATCAATAAGCATTGTTGGTATGTATTTGGGGCGCCAAAAAAGCACTTTGGTGCTTGCTTGGCACCCATAATTGTCTAACGAGGAGAACTAGTAAAAATTAAAATTCCATGGGCACATATTTCTTTAAAAAAAAACTCATGTTTTGCTACTCAATAAAAGACACCAACTTTAAAAACAAAAATAATTATATGAATATAATGACTTATGAAATAATTATATTAAAAGTAAAATATGTAAAAAATTTCAACATTTGTATGATTGAACTTTATGCAAGTTAAATTTATACCTAGAAATTCAAAAGTGGAATTGAGTGCGGATAAATATGATTGTGAAATTTATAATTTTATATATGAAATAGAAAAAAAATTCTTAGGTGGTTAAAATAGTTAAAATATTATTTTTCTAAAAAAAAATTGGTGGGCAATTACCTTTATTTTTAAGGGAAAATTTTTTAAAATGGATACTTGCCCATCTTAATCTCTTCTAGAAAGCTAAATAGAAGTCATTGAACGATAAGCTCACACCACATTAAGCTGAAAAAAACAAAGTATGGCAAAGTAAAATAAAAATATGCAAGGGAGTACAAAATGATGGTCACAAATCAGGTTCACATATCACATGTGAAGCACCCGTACCCCAAAACACCTCTTTCTCGCATTCCTCGCCAAAACTCTTCCCCAACAAAGCTGCAAGCACCCTAAAACCTCCTCGCCACCTTCTCTTCTTCTTCTCTGTCATGGCCTCTTTCCTCTCCCTTCTCTTTCTCTTCTCTTTCTGCTTCTCGTCATTCACCTCTCTCTCGTTCTCCTCAGATGCTCTCCTTCTCCTCCAAAAGATAAAGCCTGCGCTTCAGGGCCCCATTCCGCCGGAAAACATCCAGCTTTCTTCGTGGAACTCATCTTCCCTTCTCTGTCTCTGGCGTGGCCTCTTATGGTCCCACGCCGACGGCTCTCCGCTTCGTTGCGACCTCCCAGCCGTTCGCTCCAACCTGTCTCTCCTCTCTGACTCCTCTCTCCAGCTCACCTCCCTCCACCTACCCGCCGCGGCCCTCGCCGGCTCTCTCCCTCGCGAGCTTGGAGAATTTTCGTCTCTCCGTTCCCTCAACCTTGCAGTTAACTCCCTCTCTGGTTCTGTTCCTCTCGAGCTCGGCAACTCTCCTTCCCTCTCCGACCTCGATCTTTCCGGCAACAACCTTACTGGTTCTCTCCCACCTTCTTTATGGAACCTATGTGACCGCCTTGTCTCCGTCCGCGTCCACGGAAATTCTCTCTCGGGCGTTATTCCACCTCCGGCTACCCCCAATTCGTCGTGTGAGAATCTCACAGTGCTTGATTTCGGAGTTAATCGGCTTACGGGAGAGTTTCCCTCGTTCTTCGCTGGATTCCAAAGTCTCATTGAGCTTGACCTCAGCAGCAACCGCTTCTTCGGCGAGCTTCCTGAGTCTATCTCCGGCCTCTTCCATCTCCAAAGATTGAATCTTTCATTTAATAAGTTCTCTGGGAGGGTACCGGAGAGCTTGAGGAGTAAGTTCGCCACCACAGCTTTTGAAGGGAACGCAGCAAGTTTCTGCGCCAATTGCTCGCCGGATTCCGGAGGACTTAGCGCCGGTGCTAAAGCCGGCATCGTCATCGGCTCCATGGCCGGAGCCGTTATTATCGCCTCCGCAACCATTGGGTGGGTGCAGGGGAGGAAACGCCGGAACAGATCGAGGGGAGCAGAGGAGGATGAGATTGCAATGGAAGAAAATGGGAACAACAATGGCGATGGAAAGCTGGTAGTTTTCGAGGGAGGCGAGCATCTAACTCTTGAGGACGTTCTCAACGCCACCGGCCAAGTCGTCGAGAAGACGAGCTACGGCACCGTCTACAAAGCCAAGCTCGCTAATGGCGGCAACATTGCTCTGCGTCTACTCAGGGAAGGAACCTGCAAGGATTTGGCTTCTTCCTCCCCTGTAATACGTCAGCTAGGCCGTGCCCGCCATGAGAATCTCGTTCCGTTAAGAGCTTTCTACCATGGCAAGAGAGGAGAGAAGCTCTTGATATATGACTACCTCCCAAACAGAACTCTTCACGACCTTCTCCATGGTACTAACTAATTTCTCCATTTTTCCAAGTCTTAGAAACACAAACCCAAGTTTCAAAAATCTCATATTTTTCAATATCTCTGTTCCAGAAACCAGACCAGGAAGGCCTGCATTGAACTGGGCAAGGCGGCACAAGATAATCCTTGGCGTCGCAAGGGGACTTGCTTACCTCCATGGAGGCACTGAAACTCCCATCACTCACGGCACCGTTAGATCGAAGAATGTCCTCGTCGATGATTTCTTTGTGTCGAGGCTGACCGAATACGGCCTTGATAAGATCATGATCCCTTCCATCGCCGACGAGATGGTGGCTGCCGCGAAAGCGGAAGGCTACAAGGCGCCAGAATTGCAGAAGATGAAGAAAAGCAATTCGCGAACCGACGTCTATGCGTTCGGTATTCTTTTGCTCGAAATTTTGATAGGGAAGAAGCCGGGGAAGGGGGTTCGACCCGGTGAGTGGGTGGATTTGCCAGCATTGGTGAAGGTGGCGGTGCTCGAGGAAACAACAATGGAGGTTTTTGATATGGAGGTGCTTAAGGGTATAAGAAATCCATCTGAAGAAGGGCTGGTGCAAGCTCTAAGGCTGGCGATGGGCTGTTGTGCGCCGGTAGCATCAGCACGACCGGACATGAATGAGGTCCTCAGGATCTTGGAGGAGAATAGGCCAAGGAACCGCTCGGCGCTCTATAGCCCGGCCGATACCACCAGTGAGATCGGTACACCATTTTGAGTAGCTTGTGAGAGCTTCCATTGCACTTTAGCAGAAGTTTCAGAGGGAAAAGGTGACGATTTGAATTCAATTATTTTTCCATCTTTTTCATGACAATCATGGAGCAGTTAGTTTATCTCTATCATCATATAAAAATTATAACTTCAGCCTAAAAAGATAATCTTTTTAGCTGAATGTAGCTTAATTTGAAATATAGGAGTAAAAAAACAGTCCAGTTTAACTGTTTGTTTGGGGATTTGTTAGCTGTTGCTAGTCTTAGAACAATTGTAGCCATTATGCATGAACCCTAACTCTCTAAGGTTTATCAAATGAGACTTGCAATATTCTAAGGACAAGTTTACACTTCTTTTCTATTCAATGCTCATTTGATTGTTTGAATGCTTTCAATAACTTTGTATTTTCAATTATTTTTTAGTCAAGATTTCATTTTTATTCTCAAAATTACTGATAATAAAATTATAATTTTTTTTTCAATTAATGAAAATAAATTTTGAAAGATTTTCAATATTTTATATTATTTTTAAAGTTCTATCATGAGATTTATATGCTTATTTTAAACATTGGCTTTGTTTGGAATAATTTTCTTATTAAAATTTTAATTTTTTACTAAAAAGCTGCAGAAAAGCCGTCCAAAACAACAAAGCCTTATTCTATTATTGGACAGTGCATCCAGCTGTGAAGCAATTTGGTTTGATAAAAATGAAAAAATTGGAGTAGTTTTGATAAAAATAAATAAATAAATTATAAAAAAGTTTTGAAATTGGCATCATTGATTTTGTACTTAGGGAGACAAAGATGTTGGGCAAAGGAAGAATATTGTGTTTGTGAAAAATATTGATACATTGTTAAATAGAAGAATCTGGAAGACATGATTAGGCCCAACTGCTTTCAATCAACTGTGCAGAATTGTTCCCCGGCCATGCTTCCAGTTCCTTCATTTCTTTGGAACCTTTGAAAACCATTATGAAACCTTTCCCCTCCTTTCACTATGCTTAGACCATTTTGTTTATTGTTCTTTCACTTAGGTTAGGGCAGCTGATCTAACAATGAGTGTGAAAGGCTTTTTTGTCATCTGCAGAGTTCTTTTTTAATGAGGTTTTGGATGAGTATTGAGTCTTTTGAGTTTCGATTGAGTTAGACATTGTGAAACAATCGGCTTGGTTTGGTGTGAATCTGAATGCATATTTGAATTGAAAACTTTTATAATTAAATTTAGGATCGTTCAAATTTTCATTTCAATAAATTTATAGTTGAATTGAGCATCTTGATTGGATGAATTTCAACGTGCCTAAGATCATTTAATTATGATATCGTTGATGTTCTTAAATATGAAAAAATGAAGATTTATGAATTGTCAGATGGAGTAGTATTGATTTTCTTCATATTTATGAGATATGCGGTGTATGACACTATCAAAAATGTATTAAATACACCCTCACTTTGTTTCAAGAGAGCTCAAAAGCTTGAAAAATTCTGGAGCTCTACCAGTGCACCATCACCAAACCATCATCATCCGACCACAATTGGTGGACCACTGCCCGACTTCCATTGTCAAATAGCCGCAACCCGATCATGATGGATACTTGAATGCCAAGAATAACTCGTAATAATCTATCCTCCGGGGCATATGAAGATTCGCTCGTTGTCTGAGCTGTTAATTTACCTATTAAGATATCACATGTTTCTATCCAATATCCCAGCATCACAATTCCATTTATGTTTAAATTTCAGAGTAAACGAGTCTCTAAATGCGGAATAACCTTAGTGGGGGATGAGCAAATCCTTATAATCAAAGCTCATGGAGCTGAATTATTTCAGCTGAACATAACCCTATATTTTCCCCCCTTTCCTTATTTTGAAAAGAACCCTACCTCTTATACATATTTGTATTTATGACATCATTTGTCCCATTACATTCCTAAAGAATGTGAGCTGTTGCAATGTGATGGCTCACAATGCTAAAAGCAAAGGGTGAACATTACTATTTGAGATATCAGCTTTTGCTTTCAATTGATGAAGTTCACATTTATTGGTAACTCAGAAGAAGAGCAAGCGATCGAGATCTGTAGGAATCGTTCTTCTTTCCTTTTTCAGCATTAGGTTGAAGAATTTTGCTGTGAGAATAGGCACACAGATGAATTGCTTTACGTTTTCTTTGATTTGATTGATGATATATAAATAGTCATGTCAACTTTTTTGTTTTTTATTTCATTTTCTGATAATAAAATAACAGTTTTTATTGAAATAAATTTTTTATCTAATACAAGGAGTGAAATATTAGTTTATTTATTTAGGTAATTATTGGAATTTTTTTTGGAGGAAGAGGAGCTTTTGAAGTAGAGGGATAGAGAGGAGAGATTACTCTTTGTGGAGTGTGAATGTGTAATGCACTATGCATTGGGTGACGTAGCATGTCCGAATTGGCCTCCGTATGAACGTCCGAACATCGCATGTAATAATTTTTCAATAGAGAGAGCTCAAAGCCTCAAATATTGGAGGAAAAAAATTAGAAGTGAATTGTTTTCTTCTCCTTAAGAAGATGTTGTTCACAAAGAACAACAACTAAAAAAACATCTACCGGACGGTCATCTGTTTCTCCTCTATCTGTTCGCTTGAACTAGCACATGCTACGTCGTCCTTGTTGCACTTCCGATCCCGCTCCACTTCCAAGCCCGCGAGTTCGCCTGTGTGACCCTGCTTTCGATCCTGTCAGCTCGTCTCCCGCGCTTGGCCTGAACTCCCACACGATCTCCTAAAGTTGAAATCAAGAAACATAAACTAATTACAAATTGGAACAAATATTAAGAGTAATCTTACACTAATGTTCATTTAAATTACTTTTATTGCACCTCTTTAAATAAATGAAATATTATATTTTAATATATTTAAGCAAGACTTTTTTTCCATGGGAATATTTAGCATTTTCAACACAATTACACAAACTATGACATAAACCAAGAAGATGAGCCACCTCTAGATGGAAATTGATTTGATAATAGAAATTAGCAAATTAATACTTTTTTTTATTTCTTGTTGAACAATTTAGAAGGATCAAATTGTGTTAATGGGTTAGTTTCGGGTTCAATTTGAATACGGTCGATTTAAATATGAGTCATTTTAACCTGTCAAAAAGATAAATTTGAATATGATATGTTGGAAATCCTTGTGAATTCGAGTTCATAATTAAAAAAAAAATTAAAAAATAACTTGTCAATTATGTAGATTAAATTAATTGATAAAATAAAAAGAATATATCAATAAGAAAATAAATAAATAAATAAAAAGTTTAAAATCGGGTTCACAACTAATGAACTAAACCTAAATTCAACCTGCCAACTAAACATATCAGAATTCTTGACCCGAACATGAATAAATTTTTGAGATTAGGTCTCGTCGTACTAAAATAAATATTTCATTTATGTAAACATAAAGATAATATACTTTAATTAAAAATTTTGAATTTATTAAAAACGAAATCTTATTTCACTCTTAAAGTGCTTTATTCATTGACATTATTCCATTTAAAAATTAAAATATTAAGCGTAATATTTTGTTCTTAAATGAATTTTTTTTAAATGCACAAATAAAAAAATTTCATATAAAAGATAAGGGGTTGATGTTTTATTTATTTAAATAATTTTTTTTTCTATTCACAAATTTATTTGAAAGAATTTTACTAAATTTTTTAGTCCTCAAAATTCCATTAAAATTTTATAATTACAGTATAATTAAATATAATGTTTATTAAAATTTATGTTAATTAGTTAATTATTTTTTAGCATAAACATAATTTTAAAATATTTTATGAAAAAAATATTCTGAGGGGCCCACATCAAATTTTAAAACCATTATTTTGATTTTCAAAGATGTGAGTCAAAGCCGGCTTTTTTTTGAATGTTTGTCCTTTTAACATTTTTTTTTAATTAAAATAAATTTATTAATTAAAAATCACAGTCAATCTATTTTCATGCAGATAAGTTGGCAGTTTTCAACACTATATTATTTCTATTAAAAAATTAAAATAAATCTATAAAAATATGCTAATTTTTTAAAAAAATTGAGTTATTTTATCTATTTTAATAATATTATATTATTAATAAGAAGAAATGCTATATTGCATATACTTGTCTTTTTAGTTGGTTTGATTATTATAAGTAGAACTCATTTGTAATTAGATTTTTTTTTTTTTTTTGCATCTTTATAGAAATAATGGTATCTTTGTAAGCTTTATTTTACGAAATGGCACTACAAATTATCATACAATAATGAAAAGTAGCCTCAATGCAAAGATCCAACCACCCGAATGTATTGTATTATATTGGCCTACCGAGTACATAAGAGTTTTATACTATAATACTTTAAACCAAATAAAAAAAAGCTTAATAACAATAACATCGACATTAAGCCTTTGTCTCAATACTTCGGGTGGGCTATATGAATCTTTTTTCTCCATTGTCCTTTTAAAAGTTAAATTCTAGTTAAAATCTAATAAACAAAGTTCATTTCTAATATTTTATAACCAAGTCTTTTTTAGTTTTACCTTTACCTTTTTTAATATAAGTCAAATCTAATACCACTACTTTCCTACCCAGGTCATCGAAAGCTCGACATTTTATGTGAACAAATCATCTAAGATGACTTCAAAAAAAAAAAAAAAAAAAAAAAATCATCTAAGATGACTCTCTCTAATCTTATCTTCCATTGGAGCTACTCTAACCTTTTCACGTATATGCTCATTTTGTATCCCATCTCTAAGGATAAATCCACTCATCCACCTGAACATCTTCATACGTGCCACACATAACTTAGTATTATGCTTCTATTTTAATTGTCAATATTCTGCACCATAAAGTATTGCAGTTCTCACCACCATCTTATAGAATTTTCCCTTAAGTTTGAGGAAATTTTTCTATCACACGATAAGCTCAATGCATTCCTCCACTTCAATCATCCAACTTGAATTCTACTGATAATATTCTCATCTAGTGGCTATGAAATTCAGAAGTGGAGCAAAATTAAAATATTATAAGTAATTGGTTGACAATACATATTTTTCCCTAACATTTCACATCAATCATCGCATAATGTTTGACATTTGCTTATAACATATATTCAATATAGGCTTCGTTTGAGACAACTTTTTTACTACTATCACTATTTTTAATACCAAACATTTTAGTTTAAAATTTTTTTATACTGAATAGTTATTTTAAAAGCAGTAATAAAGTTGTCCCAAATGAAGCCATAAATCGTCCTAGTCATTTGATTATATCACTTATCAAAAGAGCGATTATGCCAATCACTCTCACTCACCCAATTTTTCGTTGTTGACTATCTTCCAACACTCATTATCTGAAG